GAGTCCAAGTGTTCAATATCTATAACTGCAGGGGAAACAAAGCTAACACTTTTAAGAAGTAGGTTTTACTATATACATAAACTTATATAAATAATAATTTACTTGTTATAGCAAAAAATATACAATAGAAAAACTTAAGTTAAAATAAATTAATTAAGATTTTTTGATTTCACTTAATGGCGAATTTTAAAAAAATATATTTTCGCTTTCAAAATATTTTTATCGGTATTTAATATTTAATATTTAAATTATTTAAATATAATACTTAAAGTATACACAATGTTTTTAGAAATAAAATATAGTTTAACTTATTTCCTGCAATATCTTCCATGGACGTAGGGATTTGCAAATCTTATCCTCTTTGTAACTCCACTTCAAAGTTTTCGGTAGAAGTTTTCGTCATCCACAAAGTTTGTTTTTAAGTGTAACCATGGATTTCTAAAAAAGCAAGTCTATATTCCGACCGGCAATCAGGAAGCCATCAAGACTATTTCAGTAGTCTTTATTTTGTCCTAGATAATTAATGAATAAATAACTAATGAATTGATGATGATGAGACTTTTAAACCTAGTGTCTCTCTGATGGAATCTCGCGTTTAAGCCCCTGTTCCTGCCAGTCACAAATGAAATTTGAGATATGATTACTTTATGCAACAGACTAATGGAAGTAGTACCAATATTTCCTCAGCATTCAGATCAAGAGCGATAAGGACTACAAATTTCAAAACTTTATACTTAAACTACTGGAGCCCACCACTGTTTCTAAGGTAAAAACGATTCTTAAAAACACTGGACTATAGGAGGACATATAACCAAACTGGACATGCCCTGCCGAAACTGTTGTAGATAGTGTTTCTGGACTCTTTTGAAAGAAATATCAGAATACCTGTTGTGTCTGTGGTTTATCAAGATTCAGGCTTAAGTTTTTGGGTTCCTCATTCTTAAATTTACTAAGCAACATTTCTAAGATTACAATTGGTCAGATATTTGCATTCCTTATACCAAACTTTGTATCCGTAAATAAGAGAACTGAAAAGACAAAATTATTTTCTTAAATATTTTATCGCTTTAGGTAACATATAAAGACGTAAAGATTAAAGAGTATGTAGACATGTTTACGCAATTTGGTAATCTTATTTAGATGGTGTATGAAGACAGAAGTCTAAAAGTGGGTTTACTAACGGTTCTGATCGTTTAGATAGCCATGTCAAATGATCGAATTTTCTTTTCAATGTCTATTGACGCAGCTGCAAAGAAAAAAAAGTGATTTATATACGCTTTATCACTGTCTATAGCAATAAATATTAAACAGCTAGGGACTCACTATAGAATCTTAGTCAAAAATAATAATACATCCCTCTGAAAAGTTTTTTCAGTTTTAGTTTAAGTTCCCTATGAGTTCAAATCCATTGCGTTTTATAAATAGGTTGAATGAGAATATTATTTTTCCCTTTATAAAATAACTTAATCTAACCGACCTCATTCAACATATTTTCCATTCTTCCAAAAAAAAAATTTGCTATTCGGAAGCGGATATAAAACTATTACCTAAACATATTGGGAGTTCTATATTTATTTTTCATAATTTATTATATTGAGTACTTTATATAATGATTTACTTTAAATTTGGCAGGGCAAGAGTTCAACGCTTGGGTCTCAAAAAATTATTTATGAATGAGTATATGTAAGAAATAATTCCAATATTTGAAATTCAAGTAGTTAATAAAATAATAAAATTATTTTCTTGTAATTTAATACTAATCGAAACACCTCTCAATTGAAATCAATAGTTTATCTTAAGAACTTTGTTTCTTTCGTTAAAACGGATGTTAAAATTCAATTTATATATCAATTACCTTATATCATGTATCATAGTCCATGCAGATACCCAATAGCTTAGTGAGAATTGTGGCAATAGGGGGCGTGTAGTAGAAAATATTTTTTGCAATATTTGTGGCAGTGTATCTTTTGTATTGATTATATTGTCAAGAGGGTGGGGATCTATCTCCTAACTTTCCACCCACATATGCGCCACTGAATACACCTACGATTTTGTGCTTGGAATGCAGACTTTTACTTTAAAAATAAATGCATATAAAAGTGCATAATAAAAATTGTTACTAACTTATAGCAACTAATTTAAATATTTTATTTGAAAACACAATGAACTATTGCGGAATGTATAGTTTAAAAAAAGTTTCTTCATTTATCATTTGGAGTGTCGTTATACAGCACTATCGTTGTTGTGACACCTACGAAAACAATTAATTATTAGTCAAAACTAACTATTTTCACAAAGGAGGAAAACAGCAGATAGATAATAAAAGATAATAATGGATAAATAATAGATATTTAAGACTTTTAATTGCATCTTCACGGAGTGCGTAGCTAAACTTCTTGAATTCATCCATAAAACTTTCACGTCTTAATGATTATTTTGCAAAAATCAAAAATTACAAACAACAGAAATTATAGAAAAAAAAAAGATCTACGAAATAAAAATTTATAATAATAAAAATATGATGATGTAAATGAATTTGCATTTTTTAATTTTGGCATTAAATTATTTCTTATTTATGATAATCATATTTCAACTTCATTTCGAACAATCAAATGCTTAATTTTTGCTTAGTTTATTTGAAGATGTTTTTTCCACACGACTCTTTAATTGAGATGAATGACCGTAGACCAACTTAACTGCCCTTTTCCCATTTTCCTTTCGAAATCAATGAATCTCTTAAACTGTTGAGAGAAAAGGAAATTTATGGAAGATGCGATTACGTTTATATGATGAGTTATAGTCACTATAGTCATTGCAAATTGCTCACAGTTGCTTCCTACCTACCTAAATAAAACGACGATTATGTTTAAGTTATGTTAATTAAAGTTTTAGTGATTTTTCTTTACTTAAAACATTTACGATTGATTGGCCAATTTCATAAACTCAAATGTTACTTCATAGCGGATCTAATGCATTACGATGGGTTGTTAAACTGTCTTTGTCTTTTAACGGATATTTTAATATCCGTTAGCTTGTGACTTTTTGATCTGGCAACATTAAAATTCCTTTTGTTTTATTGATCTTTACTTTTAATTCCTTATAGAGTTTTGCTACGAGAAGTTTATAATTAATTAACGGATTTTTATATATAAACGGCTTCATTTGTTGCATAGTAGATAAATTATTTGATTGATGTTTCACCATTCAAATAGCTTTTTTTCTACCTGTAATTATGGATTTCAAGAAAAAGCAAGTCTATATTCTAACAGACAGTCGCACAGCTATCAAGACTACTTTAGCAGTATTTATTTTGTAGTAGATAATTAACGAATAGGAGCAATTTTCAACTCCTAAGGTAATAACTGAAAGGCAACCCTAGTTTGATTTCCTGAGTACTCATATTTAGAGGGAAACGATTATGCTAAGGCTTTGAAATTTAGTGCCTCTTCGATGGAATCATGATTAACGGATTTTTATATATACCTAAACGGCTGTAATTATTACAGAGTATATAAATTATTTTATTTATATTTTAGGTTGGGTAAAAAATATTAATTTTTATTAATTAAGCATTAAGATACCTGAAACCGTTTTAGGAATGTTATCATTGGCTCTTGCAGTTTTTCTGCCTGAATCAGTATTCCTTCGAATTTATTAAATGTTTCTTTTTTAGATACTAGCACAAGTAGCTTTCAAAGCCCTTTTTTGAGAACAATTTTTCACCTAGATGAGAGTGTTATAGAGATTGGAATAAATAACAGTGGAATATCTTGACTATTTGCTAAACCATAGATTCGAAAGCTGTCTTGATAAATGAAAATTGAAACTACAGAAGTAGTGATAGACCTGATACTGAAAAAGAAGTTGATGCTATGTGTTTGATGACAATAAAGAAATCAATGCCATGTATTTTGTGTAATTACATAGTTATAAGCCATATTGAGGTACTACTTCTTGACTAAGAAATTTATTCAAACTCCAATTTAAAAGAAGAGAGAATATGGGATTTGTGTGGAGCAGTAGAATATTCGTTGTGTGAACATGAATGCGGGATAGGTCGTAGCCAATGCACCTGGGATGTATTGCTTTTTTCTGGCCATATCCGGGTTTTTATTCCATTTTATTGCAACCCAAGCTTGAAGTAGTTATAAAAGTTTTACTCTATAATAGTTGGATGTATTTGCATGTTATTGTATATTTGCAATAAATCTGGATGTAAGGACCACGGATGTGTATGACAGCCTAGGACCAACATCAAAAGTATTGTAATTATATAGAGTATTTATTGCGGGAGTATATTTGCAATACCATGGAATGATGGACTTAAGGATATAACAATCGAAAATTCAAATCAAAAAAAGTATAACATATATTAATTATGAAAAAGTTCTTATATCACATCAGGATAAGTATCTCAATTTCTGTCACCAAAATATGTGTAACTAAGAATTAACAAGATAAAACATAAGAGTGTTTTTCTTTAAGAGTGTCTTTATACAGCGTTATCGTCTGCGAATCACTTTATATTACTTGTTATCATATTTTTTTAAAAAAGCTTCTATTTTTTGTCATTTTAACTGTCATGGAAAGTCGATCATACTTTTGCTCTTTGTATGTAATGTATCCAAACATCGAGTTTAGCCCACCTGGATAAGTTTTGATAAAAGAATTAGGAAAACTATAATTAACTACAATTAATGGAATAGTATCTTGTTCTAAACATGTTCTCGATTTGAGAATTTATATTTTCACTTTTATTGTATTTTTATTTTAAAATTAAAAACAAAATTATAATTATGTATATAAACAAATTTAATTTGTTTTAACACGCTAAATATAGAGTTTACTATTATAGTGAGAATTCCTGCGACGATGTTAGGTCTTGTGAAATAAACACTTATAACTTGTTAAAACTAACATGCAATTAAACTTGAAACAGCCTTATCTTCAACTTATAATTAAATAAAAATATGCACTAATTTGTTCATTAAACATTTGAATGATTTGAATATTTATTTATTATTAAGTGCTATATATATCCTATATTGTTACAAAACACTAAAATGTTTATGTAAATTTCAATATTCTTATACAATTGGTAATTGGTAGGCGGCCAACGTCGTCTATCATAACGACTGTCAAGTCTACTCCATCCACTTAGTGATTTAGCACCAGTTCCAATACATCGAATCCTAACCATTGCTTCAAAACTATTGATATCACTCATACTTCGTACACCCGATGACTTGTCACTAGTTCCACTACACAACACCCAACTATTGTTTTTAAGCTATTTTTATAGGAATATATGAACATTTACTAGTTTTAAATAAATAAAATTAAACTTACAATTAATGCTAATAAGAGCAGTACAAAGTTTTGAATCAGAAATAACACCTCTCAACTCCGAATCAATAGATTCTAATAGACTATAGACTACTAAACTCTAAACGTTTTCACACAAAGTGTAAAGAAATCACTTGTATCTCTAATGTCATCCATATGTCTAAAAGATATATAATTAAAGATTTTAAAAAATATGAATAGTTCTAGAACTACAATAATCTAACGGCTATGTAGTAACAGTTCATGCCACCAGGTACATTGGTAGCATTAGCCATCGCCTCTAAACGAGCAAGTAGTTCCCCATTGTATCACTTTACTGTTGAAAAGTCTAGTGCTAGTAATACTATTATATACGTACTAGCATCAGAAGCTAAACATTTTTACCTCCGGGTAAATAACTTGCATTGATCAATTTTTTAAATTCTTTCCTAAAAAAAAATGATCGTTAGACAAAAATTACTTAAAATCCTGTTTCTCAAAGATGATATTTAGTATTGTGCCTCATACATACTTCATTATCCTGTCATAAACTCCTAGTTAAATTTTATTTATCTGAAATATGAAGACTTTGACACATTTGTTGAAAAATTTATAAAAATTTTTAAGCTTACCTCGTTGCACCTATCTTCGATTTATTACTCTTGATGTGACTTTATGCAATCACATATTTTAGCAATTCTAAATAATACTTTTATGTTATATTATATTTATTTGTATTTTTAATGTATATTGTCTTGACAATTCAATACTTAAAAGATGCGGTTTTGTCTTTATATAGTATGTAAAACAACTTAGTCATTTGATTAGAACGAGTCCTTTTCGCGACTTTCTTGTACTTTATGTATTCTTCTTCTTAACTTACATATTCTCACTATTCTACCATTTTAAAATAAAATTAATAATTTTAATAGATATATTCTAAAAGAAATTTATTTCAACTAAAATAAAAAATATTTTAAAATTAAAAATACTTTTTCACTATATATTATTTTGAGCATTCATATAGATGACTAGATTAAACATATGAGAACATTATGTTAATCCTTTTACATTAATTAAAAAATGGGAATGTATGTTAAAATTATTTTTTATATAGTATATATAATTTTATATAGTTTTTTTTATATAGTTTTTAAAAAAATGGACAAAGAATTAATACCAACGGATGGCTTCATACAAGTTTCATTCTTTGTAGGCATGAATAGGAAAGGGGCTGCTCACGCCTTCTTGCATTAGAAAGTTGCATGAGAGTGTGAAAATAAGAAACATATGTAACATACCAATGGATGGATTCATACAAGATTCATTTTTTGTAGGCATGAATAGGAAAGGGGCTGCTCACGCCTTCTTGCATTAGAAAGTTGTATGAGAGTATTAAAATAAGAAACATATGTACAACGGCAACGACTTGAGAAGGTTTAACAGTTAATAAGTGTTTATCACATAATAAATATCGCTATCTTAATGCTGATTACTGATATATATAATTTTTTTTTAACATTTGATGGATATAAAATGTATTTATCATTTTTTGTCACTAAAACAATGTATGTATGCCTGAGGTGGAGGTAACCGTCCCTTAAGTTACGGTAAGGTATCCTTCTTCAGCAGAGCAAAGTTGAGGCTATTGGCGGGATATTTAACTCGGACTACATTATCACCTTAATAAAATGGGTCTGTCCGAAGATATAAATTGTTCACTCTACGTAGAAGCAGACGAGATTTCCAGTCTAGAATTACTTTCTCCTTCTGACATTAAGAGATCCTCAACGGTTAACATTTTGGTTTTCATTTGAAGAGCGAAAAATCAACTATGGTCGCGGTGCTCCGGTCCCTTAGAAGACGGTACCCTGTTTATTTCTATTTTATTTTATTTTATTTTATTCTAATCTGTCTATTCACCTGTTCCGTAGGATACGATTTCAAAAATTTAAATTGTGTTTTACTTCTGAGTTCTCCATACAAAATGATAAAATTAACTAAGAATAGATATTTAGCTTAGACCTAGACTTATTACTTTTTTATTGTTAATTTGAAATATAACTATGGAAAACTAATTGTGTACATAATAACTTATTTCTGTGCTATAAGGCTTATATACAGTGCTATAACATATATTTCAGTGCAATATAAAATTGACCTATGTTTTAAAGTTTTCTTTTAATTTTTAAAAAAGCTAAACTTAAGAACTTCCAGTTCATTATTTATATAATTTATTTATTCAACCCTTTAACCCTTGATAATAGTAGTTTCAAAAAATTATTCACGAATAATAAAATATAAGAAATAATCCTAAGACAATCGTCTTGATGATGGGTCTTTGGCAATACTCGGTAAAAATTTAATTAATAAGAAAATAATAATAATTTTTTGTTGTTGCAATTTCACTACTGTTCCATAAAATCCACTCTATTGAAAACAATAGTTTATATTAATAATTTAATTTCTTTCGTCAAAACGGACGATAGAAATCATTTTAATTTATTTATTTAATTCATATTTATCATGTCAATCGTTGGGTTGTACTTAAAATCCTTTGAATGTATTTTAAACAATCTCCTTCCAATCACCTATTATAAACAAGAAGTATCTGCTTCAGTAAATACTAACTTTACTCCAACTTTAGAGTAAAGTTTTGCAGTTCGTGACGATAAGAAAAATCGTGCTGTTAATTAATGGAAAATTTGAAAATAAATAATGTTTTTAATTTGGAAAGTAAACACTTATTCAGTTAAGTTAATTTTAATTAAATCTTGTAGCTAATTAGATTAAAAGTTTAGTGCCAATTCGTATCACAAAATAATAATTAGCAGTGCTGTATTCCTCAATTCATAGTCTTTCAGTCTTGTAATCTTGTAGTTGGTACTGCAGACTTCCGCAACGAAACTTATTAGACAGACAACCACAAATGAGTTTCCGCTTCCTATATATTGGCACTGGTAAAAACAGTGAAGTTATGAAAAAATGTATAATAAAAATACAAATGAGAATGAAAATAATACTTTTTTAGATACATTATTATGCGAAGATACTCCAAGGTATTGTATAAAATATGAATAATCATACTACTATAATTATTTCGAATACTAAAGTACAGTGGAATTTGTTAGTTTTTCAGATATTTGAGATAATCTTCAGATATTCGTCATTAAAATCCCTTGGGTTTGAAAAATGTTTGATTTTACTCACTGCTGCTTAAATTGCCTCACAGTTAAACTATTTACATAAGACTGACTGATAAATCTTACATCAATAAGCTAGACACTAATGATAGGCAAGAGGTTAAAGTGCAGCAGCATATTAATTTAGGTTCAGTCGAGACAGCAAATACGCCACTCTTATCTGCCAAGCAGACTGAAAATTCGAAAATTCATAAAAGCAAAAAATCGTAAATAAAAAGTCTGTAATAAAAGCGCAAAAATACGTTCATTGATGCCACATAAACAGTAAGACTTTATTAGACGTAACCCAATGAAATCCGACAAAATCCAATGGAAAATAGAAATGTTGAACGTGCACGGAAAAAATTGCACGGAGTTCAGCGTCAGGTGCCCCATGGGTATTTGCATGAACAATGTATGCTAAAAAGTGTTGACGATGACGGTCGGCAAAGTGAGAGATGATGTTGGGGCCTGATTGAGATGATCATGCAATTCACAATTAGACAGACACGAGCAACATTCAGCATTCAGCATTCAACATTCAACAAAAATCTGAAGTCAGAAATCCGAAATTCGAAATCTGTACAACAATTGCTGTTGTTATAAGTACAACGTGAACGGTTCAACTTGGTGCCATGAGTGCCATGAGTGGCATGAGTGCCATGTAGTGTAGTGTAAGTGGCGTGGATGTTGCATATACATTTGTGACACCGACACCACTTTCACCGCAAACCATTGAAAATTATGATAGAAATACGGTGAGATGGCAAGTCAGCACAGCTCAGTGGGAATAAGTGAATCAATGCACAAAGCTACTCGACACTAAGTTGCAGCAATCAGCGATTGCCGCAACAATTGAGATGCTGTGGCTGTGATAGAGTTGATGTGTGGCATGTGTTAACTTAGTAAAAATGCATCAATTGCAAGTTAACGAAACTTTAAAATTTACAAATTGCAACTTTAATATATTGTAAAACAAAAAGAAACTTATCTAATCATAATCGTGCTGCATTGTTGCTTATGTCAGGTCAGATTCATTTTTGTTAACTCTATGAGATACTTTTAAAAAGTTTGCAAAAAGTAAAAAGAAAGCAAAGTAATAAGATGAATAGTCGTGATAAAATGTAGGTGTTAGCTTATTTCAAAAATATTAAAAAAAAAATATTTTAAAATTTTTTTTAAATAATATACGAGTATGTAGTGTATACTTACAAAAGACAACAAAGCAGTGAATAGGATTATATGATTCAAAGTGGAAATAATTTAAAAAAATTTTTTAATGAATATCTACAGTTTTTATATTAATTATTAACGAGTTGTATCCCAAGTTTCTTAACTAAGCAAAAAGAAAGTAGATTGATCACAAAATAGACCATTTCCTTTAGTAATGGAAATAATTAGATTTGATAGATTTCAGAACTGCACCTATAAAATTACGTTACGTTAATAGGGTATTATATATTAAATTAACTTATGAATGCATTAATCCATAAGTTCAGATTTTTCAAAACCACTTCGAATCTATAACGAAGCTAAAAGCGTTCTTTAAAGAGAGGGCTTATAATTGATCAATATAGTGTTTAAGTCTCCAAAAGATTTCCACGTTAGTTTTTTGGAGGTGATCAGTAATTGTTAATTAAAATTAAGGAGTAATCGTCCGAAATGTATTCTTTTAAAGACACAAATATTTTGTGATAAAACTTTGCAAAAATAAACAGAAAATACAGCAAGGTACTGATTGGCGTTATCACAGGTCACAACATGGGTTAACAATATATGACCACAGTGAAAGATCAGATTATAGATCTGATCTGTTAATACTATCTTAAGGGTGAGAAAAACTCAGCGCTTTAGTGTTGTCCAGCATTTGTTAAAATGAGGCTGACTGTTGGAATATGATGTGCTGCCCACTGCATGCTGTGATCCTGTTCTGCCGTACGAACAAAGCATGTCCAAACATTATTATTTATAGCTACGGGCTATACAAGCGCTAATAGAAGTAAGCAAACCAGTCAATTATTTATCTCTCATCGATCGTCAAAAGATGAACTGTATCCTTCACCTTTCTCATTAATTATTTTTTTATTTGTTAATAAACTCTTTAAAAAAGTTAATAAAGTCTATTTGACTGTTATTTCAAAATGTCGTTTTCAACAAATAAATTAAAATTCGCTCCCTTGTGAGGAGAACGCTCCACATTGAGAAACACTATTTTAGAGAATTGTTTCGAATTTATGTTGAGAAGATCCAATAGAGACGTTTATGTCGTACAAATATATTTCATATATTTGATATTTAACTGGTAAAACATCTGTTTGCATAACAGATGTGTCTGCAAAAAGAATAGCTTTGAAATAAACCTATTCAAACCTCAAGAATTAACTTTCAATTCGTTAAACCTGTGTTTCCAAATAACGCTGCAGTTCATGGCAACGGCTTTGGTTAGTGTCACTTAAAAAGCAAAACGTGACAAAAAACCTGGAACTTGAGCACGGAAAGTTTGTGCAGTCTTGACTACTTGTGGAAAAATACGATTAGACATCGTTTCTAATTTGACAAGCAAGAGTTCTAACCCTGATAATATTGGCCTGAATATTTCCTAAGACCACTGATGATGAGTAGTTGGCAATACTTGAAACAGCATTGTACGGTCAACCAAATTTCAATAAATTAACTAAAATTTGTGTTGTTGTTTTTATTTTCTATTCGAACTTTTAAATAGGTTCTTTTTGCCATAACACGC